TCAATGCATTTATATGATATTATATTAAGTGAATTAAGCGTTATTTGTAGATCACTTATTTTAATATTAGTAACTTCTTCTCAGCTATATGCTACAGTCTTACTGCCTTGATTCTCTCTCTACACAACACTGCCAACAGTGACTTCAAAAATGAGTGTGGTATTAGAAATTCTCCAAAAATGGTTGATACATTTTCCTTTCCATAAGGAATGTGATTATGATAAAAATGATATAGTCTTGAAAGGCAAGAGAACTTGATGATTAAATCGTACAGATCGGAAAACCCAACTTCGAAATACTTCCTGTGAACTACTGATTTTTTTCAACATGTTCAAGAATGTCCCATTAGTCAACAAATGTGATTATTTCTCTTCATGTATTGTAAACATAGATAACTGTGACTGTATCCTTTCATTTTATTACTATTACTATCTTTATCATTATTATTATACAGGCTTGTGAAATACGTAAAGAGAATGAAGCTTTTGCTAATAAATGGTATCATGAACAGCTTATACGAAGTAGTTTTTCATTTTGGGTTCAGTACGTAACTGATCTTTGTATTCAAGAATGGCAACAAGAGCAAACTGCGTTGGAACATTATAACAGGTAAGATCTTTAAAGACAGATATGTATTCTAATTGTTTGACCACAACTTTTCACATTAATGATGATAAATGAATGTCTAAGATATTTCTCTGATTTAAAGAACAATCACCATTATTATGTAACAAGTTATTGATAATAACTTTCAGAACATGACAGTTAAATGAAGTGTATTTATAAAACTGAAAACTTATGCTAAATATGTAATGTTTGAAATCCGAATAACTATTATACTGCAACAATTTTGCAGTGGAAAGACAACTTTTAGGCAGAGATGAATAGTGGCTGGCAACGGAATCCAGTATGCGCATTTCGTCCCATTCAGTACTTGTCAGCTGGATTTACCTGAGTCAATTGGTAAATCCCAAATTTATTAAAATCATGCAGTTAGTTCTCGAAAAGACTCTCTCCATGAAGAAAATGTATTCACATCTCTCACACCTCTTTCACTTGAAGTACTTGGTATGCATTGTGATCACTTATTTGAATCTTTAATCCAGCCAACACAACATATTAACTGGATTGAAAACCAATTTTACGTTACATAATCTAAACTAGTGACCGAAATTACTTAAAACATCAAGTGTTATTAATGACATTATTTTGAATATAGAAGTATTATTTCGGAACATTCAAACGAAAGTTCAAACAAGCATTGTTCAGTATGAGAACATTTCTATGCTTTAAACTTATAGATTCGTATTCATCAGTTTTGATTAACTAACTTCACACTACCTTTCATTCATTCCTTAAGATAGTTCTCAATTCAACAAATATTACAAATCAACTGATTAGAATGAACAAACAAAATATTATTCTACTTTAATTATAGCCCTTATTTTGTTCAAATTCATGGAAAAAAATTATTCGGAGTACTTTAATTTTATAAGCAAAGATGAATAGTAGCTTGCTGTAGAATCCAGTTTGACGCACGTTTCGTCCTAGTTTGGACTCGTCAGTTAAGTGTACCTCCATCTTACACTTAATGTTCACTCTGAAACTCGAACTCAGTACCGTTCGCTTCAAGCACTGTCACGTTACCGACTTAGCTACTAACTCCTGATATCAACCTATTTATGCAATGGGATGAAATGTTTACTTGTATCTTCCCATTGTTGTTTAAGACAATACAAGCAAACAACATCAAGTAAACTTTAATTTTCTGTTGATTAATATTTTTTTGCAATACGCTTCAATTGATTATTTTTCTTAAAAAATTTGTGGATTGGTTGAAGTTCGACATTAACACCATTGGATACCAGCTCAGTGATCTAGGGGTTAAGCGATCACGCGCGAGACTGATAGGTCCTGGGTTAGTATCTCGCAGAGCGGAATTGTGGATGCGCACTGCTGAGGAGTTCCACAATAGGACGAAACGGTCGTCCAGTGATTCCTGGTTTTCCATGGTGATCTAGCTTCATTCACTGATGAATTCATGATTAAAAGATTATTATTTCATTGTTTTTTTTTCATATATATAGGCATCTATTGTATGTATATTTAAAAATTTGGATTAATTTTCCAAATCTACAACGTGTACAACGTGAACGAGAATATCGTCGTGAACAATTTCGTAAATGTCTACTTGATATTATACCTGATTTTAATCCACCTAAACAAGATATCAATGAAATGGATTAAATGCTTACATAAATGTTATCATTATTTAAGTCAAAATTGTAATTATGTAATATTGTAAAGTTGTTTTTTGTTATTGTTCCGAATAATATATTAGGTTTATAAAAATGTAATAATAATGTAAAATCTTAAATCATAATATGTCATAAGAGTTATTAAGTCCACTATTTGATTAACACAGAATACAATATACAACCATTAGAACTCGAATATATAGAACCCCTAGAAAGACATGAATGAGAAATTAGAATAAGACTGGAGAAGTACTTGTTGAATAAGAATCAAAATGTATAGAAAATCATGGGTACTTATAGATATTAGAGTTTATTATATCAATATTATAATTCAGCCAATCCACAAAGATTCATGTTATGCTACTGTGTTTAATGGCCCAGAATCTAGCTTCAATTAAGTCATATGAATTTTCGTCATTGAATAATAGTTGTCGAAATATATATGTCGCCTATCCTCGTATAGAATCATCGACTTAAATCGCTTTAGTTGATATTGGAATTAAATAAGTCAAATACGAGAATGAATTTCGAATACGTATATTTCATACAATCTTAGATCCAGACAAAATATCGGATAAGCAAAGCGAAACGAAAGGACACTCAGTAGAAAAGGCGTGTGAGCCAATTCCATTTAGTTAAGCGTTAATCGATATTTATAATCACACAAAAATAAGTACACACATGTGATGGATGGGATAAAAAGTGTACACATACATATGCACTCATATAAAAACAGTCAAATTTGATAAGTGAATAACCAACAAGATCAAAATATGACTCAAGTAGAATGAATAGATTGGCCTGTCTGAAAGCTAGAAAAAGGTATATGGACTTAACATAATAACCGACACTATATGTCCCATGGTAGTATGCCACGTTGATATTCTAGAAAGTTCCATCATGTTCTGATGGGATGGAAACGCTTCGGCTCATTTAGGGTCTTTGGAAGCTTCATTGTAGTTCTCTGAATCTGTCCCAACAAGAGTAATATAGATAGGCATAAAATTTTAACAATATTGAAGGTAAGATAGTTGTTCGATATAACATTAAAAATTACGATATGAGGAAGAAGATCGAGGAGATAATGAAAAGTTTTGAAATGGAATAAATTCATTTCATTATGTAAATACTATTATTCTTAATTTGGTCAATCAAAATTATTCAAAGAAGATATACAAACAGAGAGATATGAAACTTGTATAACGATTCTTTTGTTAATTAATTAGTATATTTTACGGCATATCTAAGTAGTTTTAACTATACGTTCCTCGTAACTTACTTAATATTAACTCTTTTACCATTTATAAATGACAAACGATTAATTACAGATAACTCAAATTTTTCATCGAAATTATCTTAGTTATGTACCCGATGAGATTTATAAAATGTATTATTATTAGTGGGTTTATTAAATGTTCTATTCTTGGTTCAACATAGAATTCTCAGTACAATGTATTTCAACAAATTTTCTTCTCTTACTTCTTGATCAACCCTTATGATAAATATTGATTAATTCCCAGTTAAATGTTAACAGTTCAGGAATCAACATCTGACTAATATGTACTCTTTTCGATGTATATTGCCAGCAACCATGATGTCTTTGATTGTCATCTTTCCTAATTGATACAGCAAAAAGTTGTAAACTTTTCACAAACCCACCTGAATAGCTTGTGCAATTAGTTGATACAATGATATGTTAAGACAAATAGAACAACAAATAAGTTTTTGAAATATCTAACTAGTAGGAACAGGTAGCCCAGGTATTCAAACAGGTCTCCTATAAGGTATCGTTTCCTAATGTTTAAATCGTAAGAGCATTTGGAATCATTTATCTGATATTTTAATGTTCTGATCAAGTGTTCGAGATTATGAAGATTTATATGATCCATTAATGATATGATTTTATACACTAACTAACTGAACAATTAGCGAGGGCCGCATTCCTACAATTAAAGAACATATGGAACTCAAAATAACTGTCAACCAATATCGAAGTCACAATCTTTAAGACAGTTCTACCGTACGAAGCTGAAACTTTGAGAACTACTACAACCATCATCAAGAAGGCTTAAGTATTTATAACTAGTTGTCTACGCAAGATACTCAATATCCATTGATCGGATACCGTCATCAACAGCCTTCTGTGGGAAAGAACAAACCATGTTCTATCTAAAGAGGGAATTAAGAAAAGACGATGGAGTTGGTGGATAGAACATACATTACGCAAATCATCAAACTGCATCACGATGCAAGCCCTAACTTGGAATCCTGAAGTGAAGTGGAAAAGAGGAAGGCCAAAGAACACATTACGTCGGGAAATAGAAGCCGATATGAAAAGGATGAATTACAACTGGAAAGAGATGGAAGGGATTGCTCAGGACAATGTTGGATGGAGAATGCTGATGAGCGGCCTATGGTCCTCCACGAGAAGTAACAGACGTAAGTAAGTAACTGAACAATTAAACTTAATGTTAATGGTGCAAACAATACCATAACAAAGATTTAAAAGAAAAAAAATCATTTATTGATCTAAATTCAATTTTATTTTAAAAATAAAATATAATTTTAAACGCTAAATTGTTATTATGTAAACAGTTACCATGATTACCCTACCAATAATTAACAGAAAACCTGAAAAATAATTTTTTTAATCAATAAGTTATTGATTTTTCGCGCATAATTTAATTGATTTATTAAATTAAAATGATCACAATTATTATTGATGAAATCAATGTATCATATTCACGGTCTACGTATTATTGATTGATCATAATCTTTTGTTAAAATCTTTTCAATTTTATAATTCTGAAAAAAAAGAATAAATAAACAAGGTTTTTGAATTCAATGATTAGTTAATACTTATTTATCAAAAGTGAGTTTTATAGAGATTTTACAGATAGATCACCATGGAGTACCCTTTTCTGATAATAATCATCATGTATTTATTCGTGACTGACATTAAGAGGTATTTCCTGAAGTTCTAGTGAGAAACAGTGACCAGTGGAGTTGAACCTTGTCTATTGTGTGATAGTAACTCACTGAAGATAATAGTGGATGATGGCGCAATTTTTTGAACTGGTTGAAGTTAGACAGTAACACCATTGGATGCCGATTCAATGGTCTGAGGGTTAAACATTCGCGCGTAAGACGGCGGAGTGATATAATTTTGTATTGGCTATTACATATTGTGTAATTCTTTGAATTATTGATTATTGTAATCATTAAGTAATCAGTTATTGTTCTGTTAATTTAACCACTTCATTTTCATTTCATCGAAACCATACATTATTCGACTTTCAAGAAATAATAATAATTAATGGCTTTATTTTCAGTATTATATTTTTGGTATAAGATAGTGTTGTGGTTGGTATTCACAATATAAACCTTAAACTTTGTATACAGTTCGTTCTGATAACCATCATTAGATAACGCCCGAACGGTGTATTAATCAGGAGGTGAATACAAAGTGTTGATTACGCTTATTATTGTACCACACACAGATACCCAAATTTACAAGTACGCTAAGCAAGCATGAAAGAGTAGTGCCGAAAAGCAATCGAGTGAGCATGTGAGTCAAATAAGTGAGCAAGTGAAACAGGATTAAAGTGTACATAAATATACATAGTGAAATGAATATATGCGTAGGCAATAAGTAATGCACAAGCATACATATTCATACAAGTGCAACAATAATTAAGGTACAATGGTATAGATAAGTTGTTATTGTACGATTGACTCTATCCATTAAATAAGCTAACAAAAGGGAATAATTAAATTAAATATGAGCAAACTCAATTGCACGTGAGCTGCTATAAAAGAATTATCAGCACAAAGTATTTCAACAAGGTCCCTTTTCTGATTTATTGATCTATCCTGACGATAAATATTTACTGATCGCCAATTAGATGTTAGAAATTCAATAATCGACATTTGAATAATGTTCATTCTTTTCAATGAATTTTGTCATCCACCACGATATCTTTGATTGTACTTTTTTACAACATAAGTAGCATATACTCAAGTATTATAGTTACTAACATTGATCTGAAACAGATATCGGTTGAGTTTTTTCGAAATTCATTTAAAAAGTATATAAGTCAAAGATGTTAAAACTGTGGGGGTATTTTAAGCGTTGATTAATTTAACTAGTAGACCTAGTATGTTAATGCAGATTGTAGTGTCAGTTACTATGCTAAGCCCACACGACTTATTCTAGCTTCGAAACAGGTCAATTTATCTATTCTTCTTGAGTCACCTTTTGACCTTGTTAGTTATTCACTTATCAAACTTGACCTTTTATATAAGCAAATGTGTGAATACTTATCCTATTCATCACATGTCTGTAACTTATTTTTATCTGGCTATGAATACTGATTAACGCTTGGTTAAATTGAGTTGGCTCACACTCCTTCTCCACCGCGCGTCGTTTCCACTCGCTTCGCTCTCTTTTCTTCGCTTCATTCGCTGTGATTCTTTGATTATTTGTTCCAATTAACAAGTGTAGAAAGTATACATATTCAAACATCCATTCTCGTATTTGACTTATTTAATTCCATTATTCATTAACGTGAATTAAGTCGATAATTATATACAAGGATTGACGATATGTATATTTCAATAACGATAATCATATGATATAACTAGAGTCATATCCCGGGCTACAAAAAGATAAACTACTGAAAACTATTCAGACATATTCCATCCATATTTTTGTTGTTGTGTATATCATTGTCAATGAAATCAACAACAAAAAGAACTTAAATACTTACTTGATCAATTGATTTTCTTATTTTTTGTATCATTTTATCATGTGAACCAATCATAAAAATAGCTTTAACTCTTAATGATGCCATTGCATTTGGTTGATTCGCTATGATATAATCCATTTCTGTTGTCTACATAAGAAAATGATTAAATTTTTTTTGTACAAGATAAAAGTTTCCTGTTTTTTGATTGTTTTGTATGTTTAAGATCATTTTCATTTAATACTGAAATTCATGGATTGATCTGAATCAAGTCAGAATAACAATTCCTTAAACGGAAACTAATTCAATGAAATTTATGAATAAAGCTTAGGGAATATTGAATTCTCAGTGATCAGTGGAGTTCAACCGGGTCTGTTGTGAGATATTAACTCACTGAAGACAGTGGTGGATGTGTCTCTCAATTTCGTGGATTAGTTGAAGGTAGACAATAACATCGTTGGATGCCGACTGAGTAGTCTAGAGTTTATGCGTTCGTACGTGAGACCGATAGGTCGTGGGTTCGAATCTCGAGAGGCGGGGTATTGGATGCTCACTGCTGAGGAGTCCCAGAATAGTACGAAATGGTCGTCCAGTGCTTTTAGATTTTTCATGGTGATCTAGCTTCAATTGACTTATGATTTCAACTATTAAAATATTGAATTGTTTATTTGGTGTTAACTGAACGATTTAATGTATCTTATTGATGATTGTGTAATAATTCTTTTGGTAAAAAGGAGGTAATTTTTCTCATATATTGACATTATCTGGAGTACAACATCTACAACTTTCATGACCCAGATTATGACTACCGAGAAATGAGTATGTACATTTTTACAAAGGATGATCTCGATCATTTTCCATTGTCTTCGACAGGTTATCGCGCAATATCGTTAATTTATTAACATTAGGCATTAACACCATTGATTGTCGTCTCAGTGGTATACAGGTTAGGAAATCCAGCAAAATGGAAGGTTCTGTGTTTTGTTCCCGTGGGCAGGATAGAGGATGTGCGCTGTTAAGAAATCCTAAATCGTGACGAAACGGCCATCCAGCGCTCTCAGGTTTCCAACGGTAGTCTAACATTGATTAATTCATTATTCCAGTGAAACTTAACAATCTCCACAACCCTATACGGATAAAGTATTTTTAATTATCTCACGTGATCTATTGGTTTATAGTTTGTTAAACAAAACAGTGTAATCCTAGTAAATCAGATAATACCAAAATTAAAATCTGAATCTCACAAAACATGGCGAGACTATAATTTATGGACGAACCAATCACGTATAACATAACAGTTCTCGGATTTTGGCACAAAATTCACTCATTCATTCGGGTAAATAGAGTTTTGGTATTATAGCTGATGTCAGTTCATGATGAAAACCTTAAATCTAATTCGTAACCTTAACTATCAACTGTAAATTATTATTCGAATTCCTCACACAAGTTCATAACCTTCATTTGGTCCAAGATATTAGGTGGACACTCTCAAGGTCAGTTTGGAGTCTCTCAAATGTCATCCATAAATTATAGTCTCATCATCACCCCATCTTAAATTATAATCAACTTTATAAATAGTTCAAAGAATAATTATACAATTTCTAGAAAACAAAAAAAAATATTGATTTTCTTACTAAATTTTCAATAAAACGTTTCTTCATCAATTTCAATCGATTATAAGTTAATCTATAAATCAATGAATCAAGGGAGATCATACTTAACGGCATCATTTAAGAATTGTTTATTTTTTTCATCATTTATCTTCGAATGTTTATGAAGTTTCTCTTTCCTATATAAATAGATATTATATTAGTTCCATGTGTAGTACATTTGTTTACGATGTATTCCTTTCATATGTTTATCTGTTTTCATTTTAACATTAATGATTCGTTTATTATCATTAATCTCTTCAGACATTGGTTTATTAATCGTTTTGGTATAAATACAATAAATTATCTTGACTGTAAGTTCAGACTTTGATGAATTTCCGTATAGCTTGAAGGTATGTTATTTCCAAGGGTAGTTTAAAGTATAGAGTATATGAAAGAATCTGAAAGATAGAAGAATAAAGGAAAACATGAATTGGTTACTCAATAAGGACATGAAATACAATTACATCAAATATTAAAACTAATCAATAATGGTTAGTAGTAATACAAGTATGAGATTAAAACAATCTGATAATAGAAATAAGAAGATAGTTGCCATGAAGAGCTGAGGTTATTTTGTTTTATTTTGTAATCAATCAATTGTTTTCCTGAAAGAATAACCTCGATGATACTTTTCCTCAGTGATCTTTTTTATTATATAATTGATAGTCATTTTTAGTTTATTAATTTTATTGTGTCCCAAAGTCACTGAGAATGAATGTACCAATAAAAATGTTCTATTTTGGTTTTTGACTTCTATTTGGAATATAAAACTACCTTGAAAGTGCTGTCACTTCCATCACATATTAGTGTGTGGATTATTAAAAATGAAGTACTGGTGAGTATTCATTACCGTTTTGTTGGGAACGCCAAACAACCCGAAAATATTATAAAAAAAAACTAAATTCCTTCGTAATTAGTAATTACTATGGACCCAAACAAAATACAACTGTAGTAAATTTAGATTTCAAATAAATAACATGATCAGTAGTTTACAGATTTGATCTATCCACTTTCCGATGCTTTAACAGCAAACAAAAGTTCTGCTGTCATGTCCTGAATGTTAAAGAAATTCTAGCAATCAATTTGCCAAATAGTTACTAATTTATATCACTTAATATATCAATGCACTAAATTGTGACAGAATTGCAATTTACTTGACAAAATTCTATCAGTACTAAGGTAATTCATAGTTATATAATATACCCTTATGAATTAGTGTAATTTTACATTAGTTTTCAGGAGAACGAGACACCATCCAGACTTTCACGAAATAACCTAAACAGTACAGCTCAATCCGTTTAACAGAAAAGGTCAAACACCGTCGAGGCTTAAAATTTGTAGCCCGAATAGTACGACTCAGTCCAGTTTCCAGGAGAACCAGACACCATATTAGGCTTTAACGCTACAATCTGAATAGTACAGCTCAATCCTGTAGAGCAACCACACAGGTACCAAGCACCCTGGTGGGTCAGTACTAAGGTAAACTTTGTATGAAAGTGATAATTATTCAGTAATTGATTAGTATAAACATCTTATTTTAACAAAAAAACTTAGTCGAAGCTTAGATAACTCTATGGTATATTCTTCAACCACGACGGTGATGGTACTACTCTCAGACAGAATATTAGTTTCTTTAAAATTTCAATCACACTATCTTAGACGCATACTAAATTAAACGAAACCTTAGGATATCATAGATTTCGTCTCTGTTCAGTTAACATCAGATATAATTCTTTTTAATATGATTTCCATAATCTAATATATTACTTATTTATATATCAGCGATGAAGATATTTCCACGTTATATTGAAATTACTCAGTGTTATAGATTATATGATATTCAACTAAAATTTCATTCTTATTTCTCTGACAACTCTAGAGAATTTACATGAACTGTATTAACATCTATGTCTTTCTACGTAAAATAATTAGTTGAAATTGAAATCTAATATGAAAATTACTGAAGATCATAGAATATAAGGAAGTTTATATTCAAGTCATTCAACAAACCGTTAGTATAGGGGCCGATTGGAAAAATGACAACCAAGTAAAAAGTCAGAGGTCATGTATAAAAAAGATAAGATAACATCAAAAACTTAATAATCTACACAACCCTATGCTGATGATTACCATATGCTTACTAGTGACTAGCTTCGTGAGGAAATTCTTGGAGTTCTAGTACGAAGCCATGATCGGTGGAGCTAATCCGTGTCGTGTAGAGATAGGTATCTACCTCAGACAATGAAAGATGGTCGCGAAATTTCATGGATTGGTTGATGTTAGACAGAACACCACTGGATGTCGGCCGGCTCAGTGGACTAGAGGTTAAGCGTTCACAAGCGAGACTGAAGGCCCTGGGTTGGAGTCCAGCGGGCGGGATCGTGGATGAGCACTGCTGACGAGTCCCATAATAAAACGAAACAGCTATCCAGCGCTTCCAGGTTTCCGATGGTGGTCTAACACCAATCAGTTCATGATCTCAATCAAAAACTTAGTAATCGCCACAACTTTATCCTGATATATGATAAAACAAATTTTAGTAACATCCAATAACACTTTTATAGGGTATGTAGTTAGCCACTTATGATGAGGTTTCGATAGCTTATTCCTTCTTATATTTGTACTGATAATAACCTCATAGTTGAACCATTTATTTAATGAAACAGATCACGAATAGAGTCTGAAGTTAGATCTCGAGTTAAACAGAAGCTAGTCACCTGACGAATAGGGTTTAAAAATGATTTTTTGTAGGATGATAAGTAATAGTTCCTCAGTGAGCAATCTGATTTCTGGGCATACAAACAAAGAGCGTTAATGAGATGTTGGTAACGTTAGGGAAGCGATATTGCCGTGAAAACTAACAAAACGTTGGTTCAAATCTATTGTAATATTTCATTCACTCTACTCAAATGTAGAGTGAGAAACCTAAGTAGAAAAATATAGATCATAAAAAAAACAACACAAAATGGCTTAAATATGTAAAACACCAATGGCAATACAAGTACGCATAAAGATGATCTAAAAAAACTTCCTCAATAATCACGTTACGTGTGCAATTTTCGAACTGAAAAACAGGATTTTTTTTTCAAATCGCATAACGGAAAACTACAAACTTTGAGAAATTATAAACCTCGAATCATGGGTTTTTCAAATGTCAATTGCAATGTTGGAAAATGCAAGCAAGGTGAAAGTGCGTCATTCAACCAAGGGAATAAGAACGAAATCGTAGCATTTACTATCTACCAGAAAACATTACACGGTTAATTTAACCAAGAATATCAGTAATTAACAAACGAAAATTAGATGTTATATATAGTAAGTAGTCAAATCATCCAAGGTAGGAGAAGTTTAAAAGAGTAGTCGACACCAAAAACTAAAGGATGAATGTAATGCAGAATTATGCCATAGGTATGAAACCAAACTAAGACGTAATAATAATATCAACGGATAGGACAAGTAGTTCACCACACAAATAATCGAGAATGACTCAAACTACTGAATAAATAGTAAGTAGTGTAACGATAAAGATAAATGAGAGCTGTTAATGAAAGCGGAATATGAGGTCATGCCGTATATTTCAAGAAAAAATTACTCCCAAAATTAAAATTTCTACAAAATACTGCATCTAGTTTTATTCACGTATGATTTATAATAGGTGTATATATTTCGAAACCCAAATTTTTTTATATATCTGGGCGGTATATTCCACTGATATCTGTGTTGTTCAAAAGTGTAATTCCGTTGAAAATCACTTTTCCATTCTTAAAACTATTTCATATTGATATGTTATGTATATAATAACAATAATTATGGTATGTATGCGTCTTTTAAATATCCCAGTTAGCTAAGTCTATATGCAAGGTACTAGGTAAAAACAGGGATCGTTTGGTGATGTTGTGAATATTCTTTAATTAAGCTTGTTGAGACAGTGTCTCAGTGAGCGATATTTGCCTGGGTAATAAATAGTAGGTTGTAAGAAAACTGACAGGGGGGACCAAACCAAGATGTCACATTAGTAAGTGGAGTAGTTAACTGCTGGATTTAGCCGTGTTGGTAGGTACAGATTATTTGTCTGTAATTCTCGTAATTATCATTACCACTGGTTGAGTAATGAGCAACATGGTTCAGGATCAGTCTTAATAGAGCAGATACATTCACTCCCGAGATCTGGAGTTCTAAAATCATTTTGCAAATTATATCCCGGGGATTTATTTTTTCCTCTAAATTTATATTGTCTATACCATCAGCAACAACTATTTGAGAGAACAAACCAACTTCCAGATGAAGGGAAATTAAGAAAAGACGATGAAGGTGGATCGAACATACATTGTAGAAATCACCGGACTGCATTATGAGGCAAACGAAAACTTGGAATCCTGAAGGGAAACGGAAAAGTGGAAGACCGAAGAACATGTTGCTTCGTAGATTGGAAGTAGACATGAAAAGGATGAATAGAAACTGGAAGGAACTGGAAAGTATTGTCCAGGACAGAGTTGGATGGAAAATCTTGATGAGCGGCCTATGCTTTTCCATGGGGGGTTACTGGCTTAAATAAGGGAGTAATACCTAAAGTTTTCTACTATCACTGCTACCGTTACTATTTCTACTGGTCTGATATTTGTCTTAATCATTTCATCTCTCCGTCTTGATATGATGTGACTGATTGAGCCAGTACACATATATATAAAGAACTCTACGTTGTCTATTAATGTTTGTCTGTCACTCATTCTAAGGAATATTTCAGTGAATGAGAGTAATATTTATAATTTGAGACTGGTTTATCAATATTATTCCATTCTGTCGACAGAATAAGCTGTTAATCACCTTTAGAGTCATTTGATAGCTCTATTCATTCTAATATTAATAACAGATTATTTAGAAAGATGAAACTTCACCATTAAATCAGTCAACTCACATTGTTCGAGAATATCATGAAATCAAACATCCTTTCGAAGAGCTGCTCCATTATGTGTTTAAATTAAACTTTAGGTTTGACACATAGGAAATCTAGCTTGAGTAAGCAATTCTAGAAATATTGTAAGACTAATTCATTGACGATACATTATTCTGTTTGTCAGTTATACAAAAGTATTCGTGGAATAATAAACAGCTTTTTTTCAGGTAAGAAGAATGAATCAAACGGTAATACTTAATGAATAGTGATAGTTTAAGAAAAATAATTATCAAGCTTAATAGTATACATAATTACAACTAAACTCACTTAAACAGTATAATGAATTACATTTAAATTATTTACTCTGGCTG